GGGGTTTTACCGTGTGGGTCAGGCGGGCTCCCAATTCCTGACTTCAGGTGATCCCCCCTCCCCGACCTCCCAAAGTGCTGGGATTACAATCGTGAGCCACCGTACCTGGCCTAAACAAACTGTCAAAATTGAGTTTAGGGGAGAAGACCCCACAGAGTTAGAGCCACGTGAGCTGGTAAATCCTAGGACAAGGACTGGCTCTGGAAAATGGCCCATCATGAAATTTCCTTCCCTGAACTGGGCTCCTGGGCCCGATACGGGAGGCATCCCAGACTCTGGCATGCAAGGAACGTGGATGGAGGAAGAATGTGGCCACCAAGAGTGTGCACACCTGGGCATGGGACTGCCTTAGTTCCAAGCCCACTCTGCCGCCTCATTCCTCGGGTACTCTGCCTCGGGTGGGTCTCCTCATCTGTCTGTGAGATACTGATAGCACCATATTGTAGGGTGGTCCAGTAGATAAATGCACTAACACATATAAGCAGCACAGACTAGTACTGCATAACAAATGACATATTATTATCACTACATGGGATCCTGGGGACTTTGCAGCTCAGTTGATGAAAGAAATACTGATCTGAACTGAGAATGAGTGTACAGAAAGCAAATGTGCAGAGAATTTGCCTGCTTGCTCCACTCCTCAGTATTTTTTTTATTATTTTTTTGAGACGGAGTCTCACTGTGTCACCCAGGCTGGAGTACAGTGGCGTGATCTCGGCTCACTCTAGTCTCCGCCTCCTGGTTTCAAGTGATTCTCCTGCCTCAGCCTCCCGCGTAGTTAGGACTACAGGCGTGCACCACCACGCCCGGCTAATTTTTTGTATTTTTAGGAGAGACGAAGTTTCACCATGTTGGCCAGGCTGGTCTCAAACTCCTGACCTCAAGCAGTCCACCCACCTTGGCCTCCCAAAGTGCTGGGATAGCAGGCGTGAGCCACCATGCCTGTTGCTTCCTTCCAGAAGGCTCCTTGGTGGGGTTAGGTGCCCTCTCCCTCATCCCATCATAAGCATGCTGTCTCGTCACTCTCAGTAGAGGGCTGTGAGAGGGTCGCTCTGTGTCTGTATTGTGGGCGCCCTGTGCAGGGCTGGCCCAGTAGTGCTCTGTTAAGTGTCTGTTGGCATCTGGTCTTAGAGGCTTCTAAGTGGTGGAGATTATAGGGAGACCTTGTACGGTGGCTTAAAGTTTGGAGAATTTTGACGTTAGAGGATCCAGATGCAAATTCTGGTGCCACTCCCGTAGTTCCAATCACATTTCCCCTCTAAACCTGGACATGCACGTCCATCTGTGGAATGGGGGAAACCTCAAGCCTCAGGTCCCTGTGATGACAGGAATGAATGCACATTGTCGTCCATGGGCGCTAGATGTGCAGGAATAACTTGGCCAGCCGGAATTCCGGGTGTAGTCAGGTTCCAGAGTTGTTATGGAAGGCAAGGGTGGAGCATGATCAATATTATCGTTAGGAAGGCGCTGTGGTGGAGACTAAGCTCTGATGTGTTCATTCAGTCCAGAGGAGCTCGTTTTCCCTGTGCTTTGCAATAGATTGCTGGTTAAGGTCTCCAGATGAGCAGCGGGCTTTTAGGGGCCTTTTTTTTTTTTTCCCCCTGAGATGGCGTCTCTGTCACCCAGGCTGGAGTGCAGTGCTGCAATCTCAGCTCACTGCAGCCTCCACCTCCCAGGTTCAAGCAGTTCTCCTGCCTCAGCCTCCTGAGTAGCTGAGATTACAGGCATGTGCCACCATGCTTGGCTAATTTTTGTACTTTTTAGTAAAGACGGGGTTTCGTCTTGTTGGCCAGGCTGGTCTGGAATTCCTGACCTCAGCTGATCCGCCTACCTTGGCCTCCCAAAGTGCTGGGATTACAGGCATGTGCCACCGCACCTGGCTAGGGGCCACTTTGTAGGGAAATGTGTTTGTGTGTGTGTGTGATTTCTTTCTTTCTTATTTATTTATTTATTTATTTTGAGACAGAGTTTTGCTTCGTTGTCCAGTCTGGGGTTCAGTGGTGCCATCTTGGCTCACTGCAACCTCTGCTTCCCGGGTTCAAGCAATTCTTGTGCCTCAGCCTCCTGAGTAGCTGTGATTATAGGCGCCTGCTACCATGCCCAGCTGATTTTTTGTATTTTAGTAGAAACGAAGTTTCACCATCTTGCCTAGGCTGGTCTCAAACTCCTGAGCTCAGGCAATCCGCATGTCTCGGCCTCCCAAAGTGCTAGGATTACAGGCATGAGCCACTGTGCCTGGCTGTTTTTTTTTTTTTTTCTGTCACCCAGGCTGGAGTGCAGTGGCAAGATCTCAGCTCACTGCAGCCTCCGTCTCCTGGGCTCAAGCGATTCTCCCACCTCAGCCTGTCAAGCAGCTGGGACTACAGGTTCATGCCATCACGCCCGGCTAGTTTTTGCATTTATTTTTTTTGTAGAGGCGGGATTTCGCTCTGTTGCCTGGGCTATTCTTAAACTCACGGACTCAAGCAAGCCACCCGCCTCGGCTTCCCAAATGCTGGGATTATAGGCCTGAGCCACTGCGCCCAGCCGTGTGTACTTGTTCAACACCAGAACCCCACGCAGCACAGTGGGTGAGGTGCCTGCTGCAGCATTCCCCACTGACGCCGTCGCACGACCCGTGGGGAGCTGTGGGTCCTCACCTCCCATTTCCCAGACGCCAGCTCCTGTGTGCAATGGGGTGGGATTGCCTGCTCCATTTATGTGGTTATTTCTCTCTCTTTTGAATTGTGGTAAAATATACAGAACATCATATTTATCATTTTGGCCAATTGTAAGTGTAAATTTAATGGCATTAAATCATTCACAAGTGTGTAGCCATCATCACTGTCTACACCTCAAAGTTTTTATCCTCTACAAAAACTCTGTACCCACTAAACAATAATTCCCCGTTTCCCCTTTCTAACTCCTGGAAACCTCTATTCTACTTTGCACTTCTATGATTTCAGCTACTCTGGCTACTTCAGGTGAGTGGAATTATACAATATGTATTATTTTGTGTCTGGCTTATTTCACTTTACATAATGTTTTCAGGATTCATCCGTGTAGCTTGTGTCAGAATTGCCTTCCTTTTGATTCCTTTTTCTGGTGGGATATTTTAGTGTGTGGATATACCACATTTTGTTTATGCATTCATCTCTTTTTGTTTTTTTTTTTTGAGGTGGAGTCTCACTCTGTTATCCAGGCTGGAGTGCAGTGGTATGATACCAGCTCACTGCATCCCCTGCCTCCTGGGTTCAAGTGATTCTACTGCCTCAGCCTCCTGTGTAGCTGGCATTACAGGCACACACCACCAAACCCGGCTAATTTTTGTGTTTTTAGTGAGATGAGGTTTCACCATGTTGGCCAGGCTGGTCTTGAACTCCTGACTGACCTCAAGTGATCTGCCTGCCTCGGCCTCCCAAATATTCTTTCATCTATTGATGAACACTTGAGTTGTTTCCACACTTTGGCTACTGCGAGTATATAAATATCTCCCTGAGTCCCTGCTTTGAGCTTTTTTGGGGTGTATACCTATGAGCAGAATTGCTAGGTCCTAGGGTATGTCTATGTTTAACCTTTTGAGAAACTGGCAAACTGTTTTCCACGCTGGCTGCACCATTTTACATTCCCACCAACAATGCACAAGGCTTCTACCTTCTCCAGTCCTCACCAGCACTTGTTGTTTTCCATGTTTTAAAATTATAGCCATCTTAGTGTGTGTGGAGTTTTCTTACCCTCTTATTCCTCAGATAAGGGACACTTGTTTTGTCTAGGTGACGTGCATCTACGAAACAGTTCCACTGTAGTGGTGGGCACTTCCTCAGACTGCCTTTTCATTCGACTGTTAATACATATGAAATGTTGCAAATAAACACGTCAAACATTCCTGTTAAAAATTTGAACAAATTTTAGGCCAGGCACAGTGGCGTACACCTGTAATCCCAGCACTTTGGGAGGCAGAGATGGGCAGATCACTTGAAGCCAGGAGTTCTAGACCAGCCCAGCCAATATACTAAAACCCTGTCTCTACTAAAAACACAAAATTTAGCCAGGTGTGGTGGTACACACCTGTAGTTCCAGTTCTCAGGAGGCTGAGGCAGGAGAATCAGCTTGAACCTGGAAGGTGGAGGCTGCAGTAAACAGTGATTGTGCCACTGCACTTCAGCCTGGGCGATAGAGTGAGACTCTATCTCAAAAAACAACAAAAAACATATTTTAAAACAGATTAAATTTTTTTTTCTTTTGGGATGGAGTCTCACTCTGTCATCCAGGCTGGAGTGCAATGGCGTGGTCTCTGCTCACTGCAACCTCCGCCTCCCAGGTTCAAGCGATTCTCCTGCCTCAGCGTCCCCAGTAGCTGGGACTACAGGCGCACGCCACCACACCCAGCTAATTTTTGCATTTTTGGTAGAGAGGGGGTTTCACTGTGTTGGCCAGGCTGGTCTCGAACTCTTGACCTTGTGATCTCCCTGCCTTGGCCTCCCAAAGTGCTGGGATTACAGGTGTGAGCCACTGTGCCCGGCCTAGATTTTAAATTTTAAACAGAGTGAAAGTACCCTTTGAATGCCTCCCTGTTTCTGGCCCCTCCCCAGCCTGCTGTCAGGCAGTATCTCTCTTGAGTTTTCCATGCGTTCACAGACGCTTGTGAACATGTATGAAGGCGTAGTTTTCCATTTTTTTATGCAAAAGTATTGTGCCATTTTTATTGTTCAATGACTTGGGGTTTTTTTTGTTGTTGTTTTTTACTGACCAAATCAACAGTCTTTCCATGTTGGTATTTGTAGAACTGTCTCATTCTTGTATTTTTGTTTATTCCATAGTGTTGTGGGGTGTATTATACTTACTATTAAGTACAGAAATGATGTGTGGCACTGGCTATTGTTAAGAACAATGTACGTCCCGATTCAGCATCTGGACATCCGGCCTCTGTTTTCACACTCGTGCAGGGCTCCGGGCTCACGTCCAGAGGTCAGTTTCCTGCTGAGCATGCCTTGTTGACCTCCTGTATTGCCTCTTTGCAGGCCAAGAATAAGGAGACGGGTACTTTGGCTGCGGCCAAAGTCATTGAAACCAAGAGTGAGGAGGAGCTGGAGGACTACATCGTGGAGATTGAGATCCTGGCCACCTGTGACCACCCCTACATCGTGAAGCTCCTGGGAGCCTACTATCACGACGGGAAGCTGTGGGTGAGGCTGCCGCCCCACCTGCCCCGGCTCAGCCCCCATGGCCTGGTGCTCTGGAGCTAGCCTGGTCCTGAACTCTTCAACTTTTTCTCAGCATCTGCTTTGAGGGCGAGGGCTAGGGCAAGGAGATGGTGAAGTAGGGAGCTCCTGGCCACCTGCTCTCCCCTTCCTGTGGTGCCTCCCCCTTGGGAGTAGCACCAGTGATTTGGAGCAGAAAGCTCTACTGCCTGGCCTCGAATCCCAGCCCTGCTGTTTACGAGCTCAATAATCCTAACCAAGTTCCTAACCTCTCCATACCTTAGTTTCTCCACCTGTAAGGTGGGGCTAATAATAGTACCTAGCTCATAGAGCGATTACTGCGATGAAGTGAGTTAATTTATGATACGTGCTTAGAAGAGTGCTGGGCACATGTAAGAGCCCAGGTAAGTGTTGGCTGTTTTATTATTTGTCACAGTAGCACTTCTTCTGCTACTGCTACAGCTGCTACATGGAGATCCTTCTCGATGGCTGTACTAAAGAAGGGGACTCGACCAGCCTGGGCAACATGGTGAAACTGCATCTCTACTAAAAATACAAAAATTAGCTGGGCATGGTCGCATGTGCCTGTAGTCCCAGCTATTTGGGAAGCTGAGGCAGGAGGATCGCTTGAACCCCAGAGGTGGAGGTTGCAGTGAGCTGAGATAGCACCACTGCACTCCAGCCTGGGCGACAGAGTGAGAATCTGTTTCAAAAAAAAAAAAAAAAGAAAAAAAAAAGGCGGGGGCTCTTTACCAGTCCCCTATTCTCCATCAGCATCCTCACCCTTTGATTAGCAGTGTGGATGCAGCTTCAAGCCCTGTCTTCCAAACTCAGCAACACCCCTCAACTTCTTTTTTTTTTTTTAGACGGAGTCTCGCTCTGTTGCCCAGGCTGGAATGCAGTGGTGTGATCTTGGCTCACTGCAAGCTCTGCCTCCTGGGTTCAAGCGATTCTCCTGCCTCAGCCTCCTGAGTAGCTGGGATTATAGGCATGCACCACCACGCCCAGAGTAGCTGGGATTATAGGCATGCACCACCACGCCCAGCTAATTTTTGTATTTTTAGTAGAGACGGGGTTTTGCCATGTTGGCCAGGCTGGTCTCGAACTTCTGACCTCAGGTGATCTGCCAGCCTCACTCAGCCTCCCAAAGTGCTGGGATTGCAGGTGTGAGCCACCATGCCCAGCCCTCTTCATTTTTTTGAATTCTTCCAAAGAAATCTATCTTCTGACTGTGCCCTTCTCTATTCTTGGGCATTTAGGCTGTTTCCTTTTCTTTCTTTCTTTCTTTCTTTCTTTTTTTTTTTGCTGTTATATGCAACTCTGTGATGGACACCTTTGGATTTGTTTTGTATTCTTGTTTGAGAGTTTTCTTATGAGATTTTTTTGTTTTTGTTTTTGAGATGGAGTCTCACTTTGTTGCCCAGGCTGGAGTGCAGTGGCGTGATCTCAGCTGACTGCAACCTCCACCTCTCAGGTTCAAGCAATTCTCCTGCCTCAGCCTCCTGAGCAGCTGGGACTACAGGTACCCACCCCCATGCCCGGCTGATTTTTATATTTTTAGTAGAGACGGGGTTTCACCATCTTGGTCAGGCTCTTCTTGAACTCCTGACCTCAGGAGATTCACCCGCCTCAGCTGTCCGAAGTGCTGGGATTACAGGCATGAGGCACTGTGCCTGGTGAGAATTTTTAAGATTCTTAAGTGTCTATTGACAAACTGGCCTCACAGAGCCACTTTTGATATTAACCAAAGGAGATCTCCCATTGACCTCCCCCACCCACCCAGCCACCCACTTTCCTGTCCATTCATCTTCCTCTGTGTGCATACAGCGTTTGTTGGACTGCTGACTCTGTACCCATTAAGAAAAATATCTATTATGTTTCTATTCCTGTTATTGATTGTGGCTGGATACCAGGTTCATAACTTTCCCAGGTCCAAAGATACTACTCATAATAGCTAGCATTTATTGAGAGTTTACTGTGTGCTGGGCCTTTTGCTGTGAGTTTCACTTGCATTATGTGGTTTTATCTTCATTCTGTGAGGTTGTTGCTTTTTATCCCATCTTACAAGAGAAAATGAGAAACAAAAAAGCTATGTGAGCTGCTCCCCAGGCCACACAGCTAGCAAGTGGCAGAGCTGGAAAACCAGATAGAGCCAAACACAGTTTGTAAGTAGATTGTGACTGTCATGCTGTTATTTAAATAAATACACTAAACTTTTCTGTCCCTAAGTTGTCACTTTAGGCTGGTGCTTTCTCCTCCAGGCCCATTGCTGTGGCCAAGACCATTTCTTACCCTCCTCTTTTGTAGCTGCCCTGACAGCCTGCATTTGTTACTTTGTAGAAGGCACTACCTTCTCCAATTTGCCGTTTAGACACTGAGATCAAAGAAGGTGGCCCTGGAGCTGGGTAGATAAAGAGGGGGAAAGGATGGCAGACAGGAGAGACAGCATGGGCAGCGGTGTGGAGGCATGAAAGGTTCAGCACGTTTGGGAGATGGTTAGTCTAGGGCCAGGGCAGCAGGTGGTGAAAGATAAGGGTGGTAAAGTAATTAGGGGCCATGTTGTAGAAGGCCCCGCATGCCAAAGTGAAGACTTTGCCCTCAATCTTTTACTGCAGTAGTTCTCAAAGTACAACCCTTGGATCAGCACATCAGCCTCAGCTGGAACTTTGTTAGACATGCAGGTTATCAGACCCCTCCTGAGGCCCATTGAGTCAGTAACTTTGAGGTGGGGCCCAGCAATCGAAGTGACTCTGAAGCGCGTTTAAGCTTGAGAATTACCGTCTTTGGTAATGGAGACCTAGTGGTACTTTTCTGCAGGGGAGAGGCATATTCTGTGTTATAGAAAGAAGTCCAGTTTGAGAGGACAAGAGAAAAACTTGAGGCAGTTTGAGAAGTGGTAAGAATAGACTAGGCCAGGAGCCCAAGGATGTGATGTGGAACATCATCTGGTCAAGGGAGGCTTCAGAGGAAGGGACATTTGAATGGGGTCTTGCAGGATGCATAGGAGTCCTCTGGGGGAGATAAGAGAAGGAAGAGCTGTCAAAGTAGAGGGACCAGCAAATGGGCAGAAGTGTAGAAGGGAGAAGTCCAGAAATACAGGTTGAAGGATGCACCAACCCTTTGATATTTCCTTCTGTGTGATGGTTCTCAGGCCCATCTTGTGACCAGGCCTGGGCTTCTGTGTGGCTCTAGGAGCCAACTTTTCCATGTTGATATCTTTGACAAAACCAGTTCTGAACCTGGGGTCTGCTCTCAGGGACTTTGGGATGAGAAACTGGCTGTTCCCCAAGTGTGTTGAGTGCCTTCTGTAGCCATGGCTGGCAGGGACAGACTTTCCCCCGAGTGGGGTGGAGGTCATTCACCACCCCACCCCATGTGCAATTTGACAAGATTAGCTCATTTTTGTTCAGAATTTGTAATCATGGCAAAATCCGTCTGTACTTCCTTATCACTACTTCCACTTTTGAATATCAAGTGGTGCAAGTTGGAGAAAAACAAGCGAAAATGCTCTAGACCGGTAGAACTATAATGTGAGCCACATGCATCATTTTTCTTTTCTTTTCTTTTCTTTTCTTTTCTTTTCTTTTCTTTTCTTTTCTTTTCTTTTCTTTTCTTCTCTTTTCTTCTCTTTTCTTCTCTTCTCCTCTTCTCTTCTCTTCTCTTCTCTTCTCTTCTCTTCTCTTCTCTTCTCCCCTCCCCTCCCCTCCCCTCCTTTCCTCTCCTCTCCTCCCCTCCTCTCCTCTCCTCTCCTCTTCTTTTCTTTTCTTTTCTTTTCTTATGGAGTTTTGCTCCTGTTGCCCAGGCTGGAGTGCAATGGCGCAATCTCGGCTCACCACAACCTCCACCTCCTGTGTTCAAGCGATTCTTCTGTCTCAGCCTCCCGAGTAGCTGGGATTACAGGCATGTGCCACCACGCCTGGCTAATTTTGTATTTTTAGTAGAGACAGGGTTTCTCCATGTTGGTCAGGCTGGTCTTGAACTCCCAATCTCAGTTGGTCTGCCTGCCTTGGCTTCCCAAAGTGCTGGGATTCAGGTATGAGTCACTGCGCCCGGCCTACGTGTATCATTTTATATTTCTAACAGCCACATCCAAAAGAGCAAAAAGAAACAGATGAAATTAGTTTCAATAATATAATTTATTTAACCCAGTATATAAAAATATGATCGTTTTGACATGTGATCCATATAAACAGTTATTGAGCTATTTTACTTTTTTCATTCCAAGTCTTCAAATCCAGTGTGTATTTTATACTCTTAGCGCATCTCAATTCAGGAGCTAAATTTTCATCAGAAATCCTTGATCTGTGTTTAGATGTCTTATAGTCGAGAAAGGTAGATTCACACACCCAAATTGTTCCAATATTCTTTTTTTTTTTTTTTTTTTTTAAGACGGAGTCGCTCTGTCGCCCGGGCTGGAGTGCAGTGGCCGGATCTCAGCTCACTGCAAGCTCCGCCTCCCAGGTTCACGCCATTCTCCTGCCTCAGCCTCCGAGTGGCTGGGACTACAGGTGCCCGCTGCCTCGCCTGGCTAGTTTTTTGTATTTTTAGTAGAGACGGGGTTTCACCGTGTTAGCCAGGATGGTCTCGATCTCCTGACCTCGTGATCCACCCGTCTCGGCCTCCCAAAGTGCTGTGATTACAGGCTTGAGCCACCGCACCCGGCCTCCAATATTCTTAAACATTTCCCAGTAACTGAACCAAGTCTCAGTTTTCAAATTTAAATGAATTAGAAGAGAATGGAATAATACATTTAGGTCTCTACCCTTGCCACATTTCGAACACTCAGTAGCACGTGTGTTAGTGCCTCCTGTATTGGACGGCATAGACAATGAAACTGTAGATGACAACCAGGGCCCAAAATGAGTGACTGCAAGAAGGCCTGGGCTGACCTGGTGAATGTCCTCTGCTCATCACTACCCCCATCCTCCACCCCCAGCCCTGAGCCAGATTTTGGCCTCTGGGCAAATCTTTCAAGGGCGAGGTGG